ATGAATCTTATTTTATGGGATCAGTGCTGGGTCTCAGATTGGTTATGGTTCTGACTTGTGCCTGAGACAGAGGTGAGGCAGGGAAGGTAACGCAGGAAAAAAGTATTGATAGGTTTTTGTATAATAGGCATAAAATGTACGGTTAGCAGAGGTTACACAGACTCTCAAGTGTTGGCAAATATGTGGAGAAACTGGAACCCTCATACTTTGTTGATGGGAATGTGAAATGGTGCAGCCACTTTGGAAAACAGTCTGGCAGTTCCTCAAAAGTTAAACAGTGTTACCATACGACCCAGCAATTCTACTCCATGAGAACTGAAAATATATTTCCACACAAAGACTTGTGAATGAATGTTTACGGTATAGCAGCATAATTCATGATAAGTGAGTAAACAAAATGTGGTATGTCCTTTCACTGGAATACTATTTGGCAATAGAAAGAAATGAAGTACTGATACGTGCTACAACAAGGATAGAAACCCTGAAAACATTTATACTAAGTGAAAGAAGCCAGTTACAAATGACTACATATGACCACATATTACATGATTTCATTTCTATAAAATGCTCAGAATAGGCAGATTCACAGCAACAGAGTAGACTAGTGGTTGCCAAGAGATGGTCAGGTTGGGGGAAAATGGGGAGTGACAGTGCTTTTGGGGGTGATAAAAATGTTCTGAAATTTACTGCACAATTCTATGAATTTATTAAAAGCCAGTGAACTGTATACTTCAAATAGGTTAATTATATGGCGTGTGAATTATATCTCAATAATGTTGTTATTATTATTTTTTAAATAGGCAGGATGTGGGACTGGGACCTCCAGAAACCACTACTTCCTGAAATTGGATTGATTCTGTTTCTCCTGCTATGACAGGGAACCTGCTAGAGAACAAGGCACTCCTTGCTGCCCACCTTCTTTAAAGATTCACATGGCTGACCTCCCATACAGGCCTGCTTTATTTATGAGATGATAAGGTTGCAGTAAGCTATTCTGAAAGTAACCTATTTAGTATCACTTTTAAAAACATTAAATGAGTAACACATCCGACAAAGCCAAGGAAACTAGCTTACAACAACCAGCTCTGATGAGATGCTTTCCAACAGATACAAAGGTAAAATGGCCTGAAAGTTGGGACCCACATTGGCTCACTCACAGCAGTCAGATTAGCTTTCAAGAAAAGGAAACGTCTGGAATATATGCTTAGAAGTGTTGTGCCCAGAAAACACATGAATTATCTCCCTGCACTAGGATGTGGGATGTAAAGCACCTACTAGGTGTCAGCCCTTTAAAAGACGTTATCTGCTTTAGTCTTCATACCAACCTACAGGAGAGGAGGTATTACCCCCATTTTATAGATAAGAAAATAAACTCAAATTCCAGCAGAAACCACCTGAAAGGAGTTAGCTAGGTTGCAGAGTGGTCTGACTCCAGAGGCCATGCACTCTCCACCTCCCCACGTGGCCTCCCTCTCCTGGGAATTGGCAGAGGCAGAACTGCTTCTGCGACTGCTCAAGAGAATCCAGGACAGAGGTTTCCAGTGGCTCTGAGTCTACTTCCCTTGTCCCAGGACACCTTTGGCAGTTGGATAGATTGTGGTTTAAGTCCCACGAGTTCACTGAACATGACGTTAGGGATATCTTTCAAGAAGCATGTGGCATCTTTGCTTTTTTATATATGGCTGCCTCCGAAATGCTGTCACTGGCTAATTCATTTACCCAAATCAACAACAATTCTTCTACCTCTTAAAGTGCCTGTGATCACTGTTTCTTTCACACCCTTAGCAACATTAACACTCTTGATGGCCTCTTTATGTTTTAAAATTGTGCTAACCATAACTTTCTCCAGCAACAAAAGCATTCTCTCCTTTGTTGCCTGAGAGACACTTTCTGTCATGCTGAGGTGACACCATGAAAGGGTTGTCAGGTTAAAAATCAAAGTTTGGTTTTTCAATCAATGTCGACAACTGAGACATTTTTCCGTGAACAACTTGGTCAAGAACCGAATTGTTTGAGATGGGAGATGTTGGAAAACTGAGGTTTGACTGGAAGTGCTTGTTAAATAATAATAAAAAGAAACACCTATAAAACATTGAGCACTGCCCTTTCACCAGAACCAAACCCATAATCAACTGTAAGTGATTCAGGACAAGGTGAGAGGGTAGTGGAAGAGGGACTAATCAGGAAAGGCTGCATGCTGGAGGCCCGGGTCTTGGAAGAATGGTCTTGGGTTACCAAGAGCCTTTTAAAGTCCCGAAAGACTTGGGAGAGTCTGCCAGCCTCCTATTGGTTGTTATAGGTGAGAGCTGCTCCTATGGAAATAAGGTAAGGGCAACTCCTGGGTTTTCTATGTTACAAGTAGCCGTTTCTCTTCTGCTGTGGCGTTGAATACCTTGGTTTTCATTTAAGCTTCATCACTTACTGGTTCATGACCTTACTTAAGTCTGTTAGATCCTCCGATCCTCAGTTTGCTCATTTGTAAAAGTGGAGCAGTAACACTTCTTTGCTCATGTCATGGGGCAGTGGTACATTTTAAGTGAAGTAATAAATATAAAAGCAGTTTGAAAATGGAAAGGTGCTGTGCAAAAGCTAACACAGTGGTGATAATAACCCACCAGCCCCCAGTTTCCCAGCTGGGGCACTGCCTGGGCTCTTGCTTAGCACCCCCACACCTGGCTGAAAATGGCCCCTCTCTGCTTGCCTTTTGGTAGCTCTGCCAGGTGAGCAGGCCTCAGAGTCCAACTCAGAACTGGTATTGTTCCTGAAATCCCACAGAGGCAGGAGTCCTGCTTTGGTGGGTTGAAAGGTGATTCCTGGGTGGATTTGATGTCAGGATTCATTCAAATCCCAGAGAATAATAAATATGGATTCTTGCTTTTCTTTATCAAAAGAAAAATAAATCCACCCTGATTTCTCTTCCATAGGCAGAGAAGCTCACGAAGAGATAAACATTACCTTTACCCTGCCAGCAGCTTGGAGCTCGGATGACTGTGCCCTTCACAGTCACTGTGAGCAGGTGGTGTTCACAGCCTGCATGACGCTCACAGCCAACCCCGGTGTGTTCCCCGTCACAGTGTAAGTGGTTTTCTGAGCCCACAGGTGTATGAGAAGCTCCACTGACCATGAATGTGACTGGGGTACTTTGGCAGCAAGTTCTAGGGGGGCTCACACTGCATCCCTTTACCTGGACCTAAGGAGTTCTGAGGTAGAAGTTCTCGTGTAAATAGCAGAGAGTTAGTTCCTCAGCAAGGTTGGTCGTTGTACTTGTTCTTAGGCTGCCTCTCCTGTTGGTAGAAGCACGTCACAGAAAAGATAAGGAAGAATGGATCCCATGACTAGAATGATCCAGAGTTAAGGCTCCCAGAAGATAAAGATTTTGTTCATGTCCATTATCCAGAAGGAGTTATTTTTAAAATTGAGAGCATAAGTAAAATCTTATTTTCTATGGAACAGTTAACTATTTCTGGAATTTTTGCTTCCTATATTTTGAGCAACTACAAAACTGTCAGTATTACTGTTTTGCCTTTACATTTTTTTGCCTCCCTTTTTCTGCAAAGGAGATAATGATCTATAAATACATGAAATATGCAAGATGTAGCCTATTTAAAAAATCGGATGGTGAATCCTTTTTCAATAAGAATAATTAGGTATTTGTCTATTTTAGACATTTGGAGGTTTGGAGGACAAGATCAGATAAGTTAAACATTATTTGCTCTTGGTTGTAAATCTGATGGAGAAGTTTGTATGTCAAACTTCCTGTTGTAATTGAGAATTGAGACAGTGTGGGAAAATGCGCTTAAAAGGAGCAAGTTCTTCTTTGGCCACATCATATGTGAGAGGACTATGAGTTGAAATCTGAAGGCAAAAATCTAACACCTAAACTCTCAAATGCCAAATGCCTATTTCTTATATGCTTATTAAGTAAATAGTAAAAGGTCCCTGAACTAAAAACATGGTATTTACCTGAAAGAAACATTTATGTCTTCTGTTTCTTCCTTCCACATGTTTGGCTGTGGTCAGTGTTGGGCTAGGGGCTGTGGGGAAGACACAGTAAATGTCTCAGGCCACTGAGCACGTCTTTCCCCGTCTTCCCCTGCAGACAGCCACCGCACTGTGTTCCGGACACATACAGCAATGCCACGCTCTGGTACAAGATCTTCATGACTGCTAGAGATGCCAACACAAAATATGCTCAAGATTACAATCCTTTCTGGTGTTATAAAGGGGCCATTGGAAAAGTCTATCACACTTTAAATCCCAAGCTAACAGTTATTGTTCCAGATGTAAGTGAGAAAAATCATGTGTGTATGCATGTGCGTCCAGGTATTGTTAGAGTAGGTGGTGTTTACATGCTTGGGTTAGCTTAGCCCCTGCCATTTCAGATTCCTAGCGAAGTTAATAAAAGGCGAGGTGGAGTGGTGGACACTTGGAAAAACATGCTACCTTTTTGGTTAAGAAAACTGTTTCTGTTCTTTGTTTTCTGCTTTGCTCAGCAGCAGTTACTTATTGAGCAGCCATTGTGTGCCTAACCCATGGGGGTTACAAGAAATGCTTGTAATCTTATGCACACAGCCACTCAGGAGAATATTTGGTTAGTGTTAGTATGAGCAGTGAGTGGTTCGGAATTCATAAGGGTAAAGTAAATCTTTGGATAGGTAGTGAGGGCTGAATAGGATGTTACTTAAGGAGGAGAAAAGGGGAGGAAAACACTGTAATCTAGACTAGTGGGTAACATGCTAGTTTAGCTTCTGGCTTACACTGGAGCCCACTTTTACAGACTATATTGATTTTTTTATAAATGCCCTCTTCCTGTCAGTATATGTTAGATGGGTTTCTTGCCTTTTTGCCTGGCCCTGTTATCAAGTTGTAGAAGTTGGTAGGCCAGGAGCCTGCGGGAGTGAGCAGTGGAGGTCAGGTTCCAGAAAGTCCTTTATGCCTCTCTTGAAGCATTTAGACTTTTCCCTCAGAGGAGGCAATCCCCACCTGTGTTGGGCTGTAGGGGGATTTGTAAAGCAGTGTGCTAGCAAGATTGGTCTGCCCATCTGATTAGTGTGAATGTCGTGGGGCCTACAGATTTGGGAAGGAAAAGGAATGGAAGCATGGCCAGGATCTCGCAGCAGCTGGCAGGGTGATTGATTGCATGTGGGAGATCAAAAGATGTTTTCAGGCAGGACTTGTAAAAGTGGGGAAAAGGCGGAAGGAAGGAGGGAAGCTGCCTCTGGGGAGAGGTGATGCAGAGGCCTTCCTGGTCGGGTAGTTATGAGGGGTTAGGAACACAGGCATGGGGTGTCAGCCATGCACCCCGAGGGTAGTCAGAGGAAGAGGACATAAGAGTGGGGATCACAGGTGCGGGAGCCTTCTCGGGAGGAGACCAAGTGGCGGGAGGGAGAGGGTGCTCAGGCAGTGTGGCGTGCAGAAGCCAGGGCAGAGGACTGCTTTAGGAAGGGAGGGGAGGTGGTCTCAAGAACATCACGTCTTCACTGAATGAGAGCTAGCTCTAATAGTTTAGAAGGAGAAATTTCTGTTCCAGTTTAAGAATTAAAGTTAAAGCATATCTGGAGGTGATGAACCGTATCTCCAGAAACCCAGCATAAAACTTTCAGTAACTCAGTGCTGATGTTTCTGGTTTATTCCCTCTAGGATGACCGTTCATTAATAAATTTGCATCTCATGCACACCAGTTACTTCCTCTTCGTCATGGTGATAACAATGTTTTGCTATGCGGTTATCAAGGGCAGACCTAGCAAATTGCGTCAGAGCAGTCCTGAATTTTGTCCTGAGAAGGTGAGCATCGGATGGGGTCTGGCCCAGCATTTGGCTAGAGGTGTCTGTGGACAGAATGTCTCAGTCCTTATTGCACCAATTGTGAGTTTCCCTCCAGAGAAATTAGTTCCTGTCTTTTTCTCAGAAGTATTCTACCCTCAGTCTAAATTATGGTATTGGGTTTTCAACCCAAACCTTAGCTGTAATAAGTACTGACTATGCGAATTGCTCTCAAATCCCCACTGGAGAGCAGCTGCCCCTGGAGGGCTGCCCCCTCCACTTCATCAGCTTGGGAAATCATCTCACAGAGTGCTCATCAAGGTTTGGAAATAGTTAACTCTTGGGTTCAGCACAGTGGTTCCACTAGATCAGCTGCTTCTGGCAGGAAACTTAAATTTTTATTCATTCCCACCTAGATGATATCCCCCCACCCCTTAAGTCAGCGGTTCTCAACCTGTGGGTCGCGACCCCTTTGGCGCTCGAACGACCCTTTCACAGGGGTCGCCTAAGACCATCCTGCATATCAGATATTTACATTACGATTCATAACAGTAGCAACATTACAGTTATGAAGTAGCAACGAAAATAATTTTATGGTTGGGTCACAACATGAGGAACTGTATTTAAAGGTCCAGAAGGTTGAGAACCACTACATTAGGGCTTTTAATAGTTCCCCTCGTGGACAGATGCATACGGTGTGGCTCCCTGGTCTTGGGTGGGGACCCAGCTCCCTAGGCTCTGTTGTGTGACTGGGTTGCTTATCTTGCTCTCTTCTAGGTTGCTTTGGCTGATGCCTAATTCCACAACTGCCTGTTTTCTGAGAGACTGAGCAAACCGTAAGCATTGCCTGCTGACGCCAGCCTGGGCCTGGACACTCTGTGAATACCATTCTTTTGCAATGTTGGGTTATTCCAGCCAAAGACATTTCAAGTGCCTGTAACTGATTTGTATATATTTATAAAAACCTATTCAGAAATTGGTCCAATGATGCACGTGCTTCACACTAGGTGCAGTCCGATCCCCACAGCCTCCCCTGTGGACTTGGTGGGATGATCCACGTAGCGCCAGCAGTGGTCTCCCTGCCTCAGAGCAGGCCATGCTGTCTTTACCAGGATCTCAGGGGCAGTTCATTGCTGGAGGGGTTGAAGTTTGCTTTGATTTGAAACAGTCTGCACCTTTGACATGATATTGCATTTCCCAAGCCACCAATCCATTTTGTGGATTTTACGTGTCTGTGGCTTAATACTCATAGTACCAACAATAATACCCTTTTCTCTGTTTTGCTTGCAAGGAAACACACATCTTTCTAAATTTTCTTTTGAAAAAAAAAATTCACATTTAAATACTACTCTAGGTAAGACAGACTCGTTTCTTTCAAAATCTTGAGTAAAATGTTCAATATTTAAAAGTCACCTACATGGTAAAGACCTTAAGTTTCATTTCCTACAGGAGTTGTGAGGAACCTGGTCTTGTGGAGTTTAGTTGGCACAGAAAGTTCCACTGTTTTTTTCTCCTCTGTTGTCCCTTCCCTCCATTATAAAAGTTAAAGCAGCTTCCTCACTCAAAAGGACTTAAAAAGCCCCGGCCGGTTTTCTCAGTGGTTAGCGTACCAATCCACCCACAGAAGGGTTGTAGCTTCAATTTCCAGTTAAGGGCACATACCTGGATTGCAGGTCTGATCCCTGGTCCTGGTCGGGGCACGTGCAGGAGGCAACCAAACGATTTCCTCTGTCACATCTTTGTTTCCTTCCCTCCCTCCCTCATTCCCTCCCTCCCCCTTTCTTCTACTCTCTCCCACTTTCTTTGGAAATCAATGGAAAAAAATATCCTTGGGTGAGGATTTTTTAAAAAAAGGGCTTAAAAATTAAGTAAATGTCTCTAGAGTAGAGTAAAAATTAGCTGTTCTATTTTCTGGAATGCAGATGATACAATGGAAAGAGAATGATGATTTGGTCTAATAGTAATGAAAGGATTTCTTGTTTTCTTTGAAAAGGGAGTGGTTTTTCTTTTTTTAAATATTTATTTCTATGCAGTTAACATATCTTCAGAAGGAAAATGGCAACTAGTAGATCACTAACTCTACAAAGATCATGCCTGTGAAATTTGAATGAAAGCAATTCTGATTAGCCATATATCAGGAAAACCCAAAGCATTTTTCTTTGCTATAACATTTTGATGATCTGGTTCCTTTATCCCTTTTTCCTTCTAATCCATCTTCATTAAAAAAAATGACGTGTTATCTTTTCTAGTCCTCTTTTGTTACTTGTATTCTGTTTTTCTTGATAGCTCTTTGCCTCATTGTCATTAATGACTTCTGTGTTCTTGCAAGCAGTGCTGTAGCAAAAGGGCCAGTAAAACCTTGGGCATGACTGTCAGTACTTCTTCCCTTAATTCCAGGCCTGCATAGTCTGTTCTGAGTTAGAATCAGCCCTGCAGTCTGGAATATAGATTGGCCTGGAACATTTTAAACCAGGCATGCTTGAATGGAAAACAATTGTGGGCTTTTACTACAGATTGTTAAAATAATTATTAAAACATGTTAATATATATTTTTTCCTTTTAGTACATTTTAAGCACAATAATCAGACTTGCCTATCCAGTTATTTGTATGACATGAGTTGCTTTCATGATGCATGGCTAACTTGTTAGTTTAGTTTTGTGTTTGGAGACTTTGAGGATCTTAAGAAATAAGATTGTGAAAGCCTTTGGGCTTGGCCTTTAGAAACATCACTATCTTTAAGACCAACAGATTTTAGGTTAAGCTGCTACTGAATTAATAAAATCCCAATGAATGGAGTTCTAGGGATAGATTTATAGCTGGCAGAGTAATATAAAAGGAGACAGACAGGTGGAAAAAGTCAATTTCACTGGTTTATTCAATCCAACTTGTTGCTAATATTAATTACCCTTATTTTAATTACAGGGAATGGCTGGAATCTGTAGCCAGGGAAGGAAAAACACTGTTAGTGTGAGGAAAGGAAGTGCCAAAAATACCTGGACAGTATGATTTGTCGTGAGGCTAGGACACACACTTTAAAATCCGGCCTTTACCCTAGAAGGCAAATCTCAAAGATCTTGTGGAAACCCAGAGCCAGTCAATTATATAAAGAAAGGCTGGGGTGGAGGGAGGAGGCTATGTACCTGCTGGGTGAAGAGGCCTCGTAACTGAAGAGACTTCCGCTGGGTGTAGGAAGTCCAGGGGACTGTGGCTGTGGGGCACTTGCAGACAAGGCCTCTGCAGGGTCTTGCTGGGGGCTCCAGGTTACAGGTGTCCCAGGCAGGGCCCGTTTGCCATCAGGGTGACCTCACCCAGGAGCACGGCTCGTCCTCAGGCATCTTGGACTGGAGGTCCAATGAAAGGTCAGCAACTTACTATTAAAGTGGTTGTTTCAGATCATATTGATCTCTTTTCTTTTTCCTTTTGTCCTTTCACTGTATGACTTGAATCAGTTTTGATTCTATTTGTAAGTTTTCTCATCATTAGGAACCTGCCATTTCTGTTGCATTTTCTTTGGCAGTCTGTAGGGATTCAGCATCCTGATTTTTCAACCCTCCTGCAGGCACTGTGGGGTCACAAGGGCCAGCGGATCCATTTCACTTCTCTTGCTGCATGATGATCAGTAGCTGATGTTATGGCATTCACTCCCAGATTAATTTTCCATGTTTGAAATGTGTGCATATGTGCTTTACTGAATAAAACATCTGAATTTATTTGCTGTGTCTCTGTTTCCTCCTGTCTGATGGTGTTTTCTAAGGCAAAAACATCTATAATAAAAGGGTAACATGCTAATTAGACCGGACGTCATTCCGGACATTTTTCCTGACGAAGCCAGGGCCAGAGGGAAGCCATCCCGGGTCCTGGGTGCCTGCAGGCGGCCCAAGGGAAGTCAGCTTGGGTCCCGGGTGCCTGCTGGTGGCTTCCGGGTGCCGGAGGGAAGCTGGTGCTGGCAGCCAGGGGAAGGAAGGCCTACTCTTGCATGAATTTCATGTATCAGGCCTCTAGTTTGTGATAATTGAGGGTTTTTGAAGTAGTTCTTTCAAAGTGTCACCTATCATCAGAATGATGAGTGGGCAGTGTTTACTACTAAGCTGGTCTCATCAAGCACACAGGTCTTCCTGAGAGCACAAAACTACTTTTAGTGTTGGACCAGCTAGTGTTTGCAGACCTGAACCCAGATCCTCTCCAAAAAAAGTGATACAGGCCAGTAGGGAACATGGTTAGGGGTGGGAGTGCAAAGACATCCTTCTCAGTTACATAAACCCTTCTTGTGTGCCTGGCCTGAGTTACCAGAAGCAGACTCCTCGCTGGCTCTGCCTTCTCCTGTTACAGAGCTCCTGTGTGTGCTAGACTTTCTTTGCCAGGACACTGCACCCTCTGCACTTAGTTGTTGAGTGAAATAAATTGTTTGACCATTGCAAGGATAGATGGCCTGTCAGTTATATTACATCTAAGGGGAGGAAAAGGATTGAGTTTTGCTTTTGATATTATTTAGCCCCTTTCCTCTTGCTCACTCAGTATATAATCTGTTGGCAGATAGTGACAAGATAAAGATAGAGGATGATGGCTATGATGCTTTTGGGGTGATTGCAGAAGGCATCTTGGAAGAGGTATAATATGAAGGCACCTGCAAAAGGAGGGAGTTTGGACTGGGCATTCCATGCAGAGGACATGGCGTGGCCCTGGTGCAGAGGCTGAACTCTAGGGGCCTTGGCTTAGTGCTAGGTGGAGGATAGGAGTTGTGTAAGAACTTGTTTCCCCACCTGAGGACAGGATGCTGCCAGAGTGGCCCCTTGGGGTGGCCTGCAGGGGGCTGTGCAGGGAGATGCTCTAACACAGCTGTGGGAAAACTACGGCTGGCCCGCTTGAAATGAATAAAACTATTGAAAAAAAAGACCGTACCCTTTTATGTAATGATGTTTACTTTGAATTTGTATTAGTTCACACAAACACTCCATCCATGCTTTTGTTCCGGCCCTCCGGTCCAGTTTAAGAACCCATTGTGGCCCTCCAGTCAAAAAGTTTGCCCACCCCTGCAACACCATCTGGTCCAGGAAGGGAGTTCTCTGAACTGAAGCTCAGCATGGCAGGTACAAGCCCTGCTCCAACTCCTGCAGGCCACGTAACTTTGGCTGAGTGGCTGAACCTCTCTGTGCCCCAGTTTCCTCATCTAAGAATAAGGATAATAGAACCCACTTGAATGTGGTGAGGATTCAGCAAGTCAGTTACTACAGAGTGCATAGAAGAGTGTCTGGCACTCTGATGTTTATTATAATGGAACATTATAATAAGTGAGGGGAGGTGTCCACGAGTGAGGCTGTTTTTCCCAGAGGATCTTCAAATGTATACCTATTCCAATTCCAAATATGGCTTAAAACCAATAAACCTCGTTATAGCTTAGCCATGGACAAAAAGGTGTCCCTAAAAAGAGTGTAAAGGTGCACCTCCCGTAATCCAGTGCAAGACCTCAATTTGAAACAGCTCATCTACAGCTCCTTGCTGGGCTTCCTGCTCTCACACACCTTGCTGCTTAGGGCCAGGGCCACCTGCTATGGGGCAGTTCAAGTTCCCAGAACCAGGGAAGTCTCACTATTTCCTAAGGCAAGGCAATTTGTGACAACTTGAATGGACCTAGAGACTATTAAGTGAAATAAGTCAAAGAGAAATACCATATGATTTCATTTATGTATGGAATCTAAAAAACACAACAAAATCAAACAGAGACAAACTCTTAGATAGAAAGTGGTGGTTCCCATGGATGGTTGCAGGGAGGGGACTGGGCAGTTATTTTAAAACTAGAGGCCCGGTGCACGGGTAGGGTCCCTAGGCCTGGCTGGTGATCAGGGCCTGTTGGGGCCTTCCTGCTGCTGACTGGGGCATTCCTTCACTTTGCACTGCCCCCTGGTGGTCAGTGCATGTCATAGAGAGCGGTTGAACTCCCAGTTGGTTGAACACCTGAGGGGACAATTTGCATATTAGCCT